TCATATACAGTAAAAAGAAAACCGAATTCTAATGGCATATTAAAGTTTAATCAAACGTAACAAGAATATATGGTTACAAATCAGTACTGTTAACTAATAATGTCTCCAACACAATTATCGCTGATTACTAATCACCAATCATAACAAGATTTATCTTTATTGAGGATTAAAATGCCGCAGTAAACTCTTGGTTTCAAAGGAGGGTCGCGGGGCGGGCGGTGGGGGGGGGCGTTGTTCGCAAATGTCTACTTGTTAATAAAATGACATCGCAGTAAAACTCGCCATAACATTGGGCGTGGAATCAAAATCTGTAAAGGCATTCGAAGATTTTCGCTGCGTTAATTTATCTAGAACTTATAATGCTTGTGAATTTATACTCCGGCGTTTTTGTCTCGTATCACTGTTTTGTCATACCGGCATGACGTGTGTATGAAACTTGGACCAGGTGATTAGCCCACGTTTTGAAAAAATTACTCTGGTTTCTCCTCATTTTTCGTGTAAATCTTTCGCCTTTTACTAAAGATTTCCGTGGGGAGGAACAACTTAATGAGTCTATAGACAATTTCTTTAACCCTCTACGGAGGGTAAATTAAGATAAAAAGAGTGTTAGGGGTTATTTTCCTTATAAAATTTGTTTTGTCATACCGGCATGACGTGTGTATGAAACTTGGACCAGGTGATTAGCCCACGTTTTGAAAAAATTACTCTGGTTTCTCGTGTAAATCTTTCGCTTTTTACTAAAGATTTCCGTGGGGAGGAACAACTTAATGAGTCTATAGACAATTTCTTTAACCCTCTACGGAGGGTAAATTAAGATAAAAAGAGTGTTTGGGGTTATTTTCCTTATAAAATTTAAGTATGATAGCCCAAATCAGAGTTGGTTCTGCTGGCAGGAATATGTTGACGCTCGAATGAGCAGAAAACCCGAGGTCCATCTGTCAAAACACACGGGTACACGTAAAACAAATCTCGTTTCACAGTTGGAATTGATAGCGTGAGTTAGTCTCAAAATGATTAATCAGTACTGATTAATATATACATCCACACTAATCGCTGATTACTTATCACCTATCATAGCTTGAGTTATGTTTAATAGCAGTCTGTATTCTGTGGATATCAAAAACAAAAAGAGAGTTGTGATCGTTTGCATTACTAGCGTAGGTCTGTCATTGAGTCAACTGGCGTGGTTTCGAATTCCCGGTTATACTTGTCAAGGAGTCGGGTCGCCTGTCCAAACTCGTGGGTTTTCTTCGGACCCCCACCCCCTACCACTGCTAAAAAGCCGCACGTGCAAGCGAATTACTGAAATAATAATAAAAAAGAAACATGCATTGGTCCCTAGTTTGTGTCGAGTGTAAGCTGCATTTAATTATCTAGATCTTATAAGGCTTGTGAATTTATTTTCCAGCGTTATTGTCTCCTGTCAGGATCACTGGTTCGTCATAATGGAGTGACACGTAGATTTGTATATGTAACGTGGACCGGGTGATTAGCCCGCGTTTTGAAATATTCCTCTGGTTTTCCTCATCTCTCGTGTAAATCTTTCGCCTTTTACTAAAGATTTCCGTGGGGAGGAAGAACTTAATGAGTCTGTAGACAATTTCTTTAACCCTCTAAGTAGGGTAAAATTAAAATGACTGTAAGTATTCCCCTGTATCCATTTAAGTGATGCAAATGTACCCAAACGAGAATTTCTCCGACTTTCCCCTAATTGTTATAATATAAAGTTCCCTAGGCGCAATCGAATTATTGAAATACTATCGAACCACGTGTTAGTCCCGAAATGACCAAGTTCTCTCTCTTTCTCTCTCTCTCATATACAGTAAAAAGAAAACCGAATTCTAATGGCATATTAAAGTTTAATCAAACGTAACAAGAATATATGGTTACAAAACTTGAACATAAAGAAAATAAAACAAAGCATAAACAACAGCAGATCATTCACACTCTTCGGAGAAGTCGCTGCCTTCGTTTGACTTTAGCTATCTCTGTCAGGGATCTTGTGTTTCTCGCACGACTTCTTTTATTACCAAACCACTTTTTGACCTGTTCCGTTGTTGGACCCGAAATCTCGGCCAGTTGTTCAACTTGCTGGGCCGTGGGATACGGGTGAACTAAGTGTGACTGGTACCATTGTTCTAGTACTTTCAGGGACCGACGACACAAGACTGGACGAGTCCTCGCCGTTGTTGACGACTTGCTCGGTTCAGTGCGTGATGCCAATAACTGTAAACTAGATTCTACCCGGTCGATGATCATGCGTAGCTGGTTGTCAAGTTCCACATGGAGCGACTGTTGCTGAACTTTGGATGGACAGGACTGAACACGGTTCATTCTCTCCATGTCAATGCTGGCGGAATGGAAGCGGTAAAAGCAAGATAGTTGTTGAACCATGTCAGGATATTCAGGTTGAAGTTTGGAAAACATCTGAAGGAGTGATTCTTCTCTTTCTCTGATATTCACCACCTCGTGGGTTGAAAACATCAACGAATCTGCAAAGCTGTCAGTGGATTTGACTTCGTCGACGATCAAACATCTCAGGTCGTTGTAAAATTGGGGAATAACGGGCCCCTTGTTGTTGATTATGTCATCTTCATACTGTACACGATTTGGCGACGATTTATCATCAGCTACGAGGCGTGTCAGCTCAGAAATTGATAAATTACTGTTCCCTGGATTTTCATTTCCAAATTCAAATGCTAAACATTCCGTAAATCGGGATTCTCCACACTCATCAACAATATTGCCTGGAAAATAGATAGAAATATATTCAATTAAACGTATGCGACCAATTAAATGCATTCTATATTCCAAACTCATACATCTCAAGCCATCTTCTATAATAGAATAGCCTATTCTGCATTTAAAAAAGCTTCAGAAATAAAGAAATTTACCTGTCACACTGATTATTTCGTAGTTACCCGCCGGAAGTTGTGAAAAATCGGGAATGAAAGAAGCCATGTTGTATTATTTTTTCTTCTCGAAAATTTAGCGCAATGAAATAAAATCCGGGAATGGCAGATTGAGAATGAGATGTCAGAATTGAGTCGATCCTTTTAAATCAACTGCTTTATGATGACTGCTCATGTGGACGGCTTGTTGAAGCCACCCAAAAGAGTTTTCAAACCAGTTAATCCACGGAAAACATTAATCAGTACTGTTAACTAATAATGTCTCCAACACAATTATCGCTGATTACTAATCACCAATCATAACAAGATTTATCTTTATTGAGGATTAAAATGCCGCAGTAAACTCTTGGTTTCAAAGGAGTGTCGCGGGGCGGGCGGTAGGGGGGTTTTTGTTCGCAAATGTCTACTTGTTAATAAAATGACATCGCAGTAAAACTCGCCATAACATTGGGCGTGGAATCAAAATCTGTAAAGGCATTCGAAGATTTTCGCTGCGTTAATTTATCTAGAACTTATAATGCTTGTGAATTTATACTCCGGCGTTTTTGTCTCGTATCACTGTTTTGTCATACCGGCATGACGTGTGTATGAAACTTGGACCAGGTGATTAGCCCACGTTTTGATAAAATTACTCTGGTTTCTCCTCATTTATCGTGTAAATCTTTCGCCTTTTACTAAAGATTTCCGTGGGGAGGAACAACTTAATGAGTCTATAGACAATTTCTTTAACCCTCTACGGAGGGTAAATTAAGATAAAAAGAGTGTTAGGGGTTATTTTCATTATAAAATTTGTTTTGTCATACCGGTATGAAACTTGGACCAGGTGATTAGCCCACGTTTTGAAAAAATTACTCTGGTTTCTCGTGTAAATCTTTCGCTTTTTACTAAAGATTTCCGTGGGGAGGAACAACTTAATGAGTCTATAGACAATTTCTTTAACCCTCTACGGAGGGTAAATTAAGATAAAAAGAGTGTTTGGGGTTATTTTCCTTATAAAATTTAAGTATGATAGCCCAAATCAGAGTTGGTTCTGCTGGCAGGAATATGTTGACGCTCGAATGAGCAGAAAACCCGAGGTCCATCTGTCAAAACACACGGGTACACGTAAAACAAATCTCGTTTCACAGTTGGAATTGATAGCGTGAGTTAGTCTCAAAATGATTAATCAGTACTGATTAATATATACATCCACACTAATCGCTGATTACTTATCACCTATCATAGCTTGAGTTATGTTTAATAGCAGTCTGTATTCTGTGGATATCAAAAACAAAAAGAGAGTTGTGATCGTTTGCATTACTAGCGTAGGTCTGTCATTGAGTCAACTGGCGTGGTTTCGAATTCCCGGTTATACTTGTCAAGGAGTCGGGTCGCCTGTCCAAACTCGTGGGTTTTCTTCGGACCCCCACCCCCTACCACTGCTAAAAAGCCGCACGTGCAAGCGAATTACTGAAATAATAATAAAAAAGAAACATGCATTGGTCCCTAGTTTGTGTCGAGTGTAAGCTGCATTTAATTATCTAGATCTTATAAGGCTTGTGAATTTATTTTCCAGCGTTATTGTCTCCTGTCAGGATCACTGGTTCGTCATAATGGAGTGACACGTAGATTTGTATATGTAACGTGGACCGGGTGATTAGCCCGCGTTTTGAAATATTCCTCTGGTTTTCCTCATCTCTCGTGTAAATCTTTCGCCTTTTACTAAAGATTTCCGTGGGGAGGAAGAACTTAATGAGTCTGTAGACAATTTCTTTAACCCTCTAAGTAGGGTAAAATTAAAATGACTGTAAGTATTCCCCTGTATCCATTTAAGTGATGCAAATGTACCCAAACGAGAATTTCTCCGACTTTCCCCTAATTGTTATAATATAAAGTTCCCTAGGCGCAATCGAATTATTGAAATACTATCGAACCACGTGTTAGTCCCGAAATGACCAAGTTCTCTCTCTTTCTCTCTCTCTCATATACAGTAAAAAGAAAACCGAATTCTAATGGCATATTAAAGTTTAATCAAACGTAACAAGAATATATGGTTACAAAACTTGAACATAAAGAAAATAAAACAAAGCATAAACAACAGCAGATCATTCACACTCTTCGGAGAAGTCGCTGCCTTCGTTTGACTTTAGCTATCTCTGTCAGGGATCTTGTGTTTCTCGCACGACTTCTTTTATTACCAAACCACTTTTTGACCTGTTCCGTTGTTGGACCCGAAATCTCGGCCAGTTGTTCAACTTGCTGGGCCGTGGGATACGGGTGAACTAAGTGTGACTGGTACCATTGTTCTAGTACTTTCAGGGACCGACGACACAAGACTGGACGAGTCCTCGCCGTTGTTGACGACTTGCTCGGTTCAGTGCGTGATGCCAATAACTGTAAACTAGATTCTACCCGGTCGATGATCATGCGTAGCTGGTTGTCAAGTTCCACATGGAGCGACTGTTGCTGAACTTTGGATGGACAGGACTGAACACGGTTCATTCTCTCCATGTCAATGCTGGCGGAATGGAAGCGGTAAAAGCAAGATAGTTGTTGAACCATGTCAGGATATTCAGGTTGAAGTTTGGAAAACATCTGAAGGAGTGATTCTTCTCTTTCTCTGATATTCACCACCTCGTGGGTTGAAAACATCAACGAATCTGCAAAGCTGTCAGTGGATTTGACTTCGTCGACGATCAAACATCTCATGTCGTTGTAAAATTGGGGAATAACGGGCCCCTTGTTGTTGATTATGTCATCTTCATACTGTACACGATTTGGCGACGATTTATCATCAGCTACGAGGCGTGTCAGCTCAGAAATTGATAAATTACTGTTCCCTGGATTTTCATTTCCAAATTCAAATGCTAAACATTCCGTAAATCGGGATTCTCCACACTCATCAACAATATTGCCTGGAAAATAGATAGAAATATATTCAATTAAACGTATGCGACCAATTAAATGCATTCTATATTCCAAACTCATACATCTCAAGCCATCTTCTATAATAGAATAGCCTATTCTGCATTTAAAAAAGCTTCAGAAATAAAGAAATTTACCTGTCACACTGATTATTTCGTAGTTACCCGCCGGAAGTTGTGAAAAATCGGGAATGAAAGAAGCCATGTTGTATTATTTTTTCTTCTCGAAAATTTAGCGCAATGAAATAAAATCCGGGAATGGCAGATTGAGAATGAGATGTCAGAATTGAGTCGATCCTTTTAAATCAACTGCTTTATGATGACTGCTCATGTGGACGGCTTGTTGAAGCCACCCAAAAGAGTTTTCAAACCAGTTAATCCACGGAAAACATTAATCAGTACTGTTAACTAATAATGTCTCCAACACAATTATCGCTGATTACTAATCACCAATCATAACAAGATTTATCTTTATTGAGGATTAAAATGCCGCAGTAAACTCTTGGTTTCAAAGGAGGGTCGCGGGGCGGGCGGTGGGGGGGGGCGTTGTTCGCAAATGTCTACTTGTTAATAAAATGACATCGCAGTAAAACTCGCCATAACATTGGGCGTGGAATCAAAATCTGTAAAGGCATTCGAAGATTTTCGCTGCGTTAATTTATCTAGAACTTATAATGCTTGTGAATTTATACTCCGGCGTTTTTGTCTCGTATCACTGTTTTGTCATACCGGCATGACGTGTGTATGAAACTTGGACCAGGTGATTAGCCCACGTTTTGATAAAATTACTCTGGTTTCTCCTCATTTTTCGTGTAAATCTTTCGCCTTTTACTAAAGATTTCCGTGGGGAGGAACAACTTAATGAGTCTATAGACAATTTCTTTAACCCTCTACGGAGGGTAAATTAAGATAAAAAGAGTGTTAGGGGTTATTTTCCTTATAAAATTTGTTTTGTCATACCGGCATGACGTGTGTATGAAACTTGGACCAGGTGATTAGCCCACGTTTTGAAAAAATTACTCTGGTTTCTCCTCATTTTTCGTGTAAATCTTTCGCCTTTTACTAAAGATTTCCGTGGGGAGGAACAACTTAATGAGTCTATAGACAATTTCTTTTAGCCCTCTACGGAGGGTAAATTAAGATAAAAAGAGTGTTAGGGGTTATTTTCCTTATAAAATTTAAGTATGATAGCCCAAATCAGAGTTGGTTCTGCTGGCAGGAATATGTTGACGCTCGAATGAGCAGAAAACCCGAGGTCCAGCTGTCTAAACACACGAGTACACGTAAAACAAATCTCGTTTCACAGTTGGAATTGATAGCGATTAATCAGTACTGATTAATATATACATCCACACTTATCGCTGATTACTTATCACCTATCATAGCTTGAGTTATGTTTAATAGCAGTCTGTATTCTGTGGATATCAAAAACAAAAAGAGAGTTGTGATCGTTTGCATTACTAGCGTAGGTCTGTTATTGAGTCAACTGGCGTGGTTTCGAATTCCCGGTTATACTTGTCAAGGAGTCGGGTCGCCTGTCCAAACTCGTGGGTTTTCTTCGGACCCCCCACCCCCTACCACTGCTAAAAAGCCGCACGTGCAAGCGAATTACTGAAATAATAATAAAAAAGAAACATGCATTGGTCCCTAGTTTGTGTCGAGTGTAAGCTGCATTTAATTATCTAGATCTTATAAGGCTTGTGAATTTATTTTCCAGCGTTATTGTCTCCTGTCAGGATCACTGGTTCGTCATAATGGAGTGACACGTAGATTTGTATATGTAACGTGGACCGGGTGATTAGCCCGCGTTTTGAAATATTCCTCTGGTTTTCCTCATCTCTCGTGTAAATCTTTCGCCTTTTACTAAAGATTTCCGTGGGGAGGAAGAACTTAATGAGTCTGTAGACAATTTCTTTAACCCTCTAAGTAGGGTAAAATTAAAATGACTGTAAGTATTCCCCTGTATCCATTTAAGTGATGCAAATGTACCCAAACGAGAATTTCTCCGACTTTCCCCTAATTGTTATAATATAAAGTTCCCTAGGCGCAATCGAATTATTGAAATACTATCGAACCACATGTTAGTCCCGAAATGACCAAGTTCTCTCTCTCTCTTTCTCTCTCTCTCATATACAGTAAAAAGAAAACCGAATTCTAATGGCATATTAAAGTTTAATCAAACGTAACAAGAATATATGGTTACAAAACTTGAACATAAAGAAAATAAAACAAAGCATAAACAACAGCAGATCATTCACACTCTTCGGAGAAGTCGCTGCCTTCGTTTGACTTTAGCTATCTCTGTCAGGGATCTTGTGTTTCTCGCACGACTTCTTTTATTACCAAACCACTTTTTGACCTGTTCCGTTGTTAGACCCGAAATCTCGGCCAGTTGTTCAACTTGCTGGGCCGTGGGATACGGGTGAACTAAGTGTGACTGGTACCATTGTTCTAGTACTTTCAGGGACCGACGACACAAGACTGGACGAGTCCTCGCCGTTGTTGACGACTTGCTCGGTTCAGTGCGTGATGCCAATAACTGTAAACTAGATTCTACCCGGTCGATGATCATGCGTAGCTGGTTGTCAAGTTCCACATGGAGCGACTGTTGCTGAACTTTGGATGGACAGGACTGAACACGGTTCATTCTCTCCATGTCAATGCTGGCGGAATGGAAGCGGTAAAAGCAAGATAGTTGTTGAACCATGTCAGGATATTCAGGTTGAAGTTTGGAAAACATCTGAAGGAGTGATTCTTCTCTTTCTCTGATATTCACCACCTCGTGGGTTGAAAACATCAACGAATCTGCAAAGCTGTCAGTGGATTTGACTTCGTCGACGATCAAACATCTCAGGTCGTTGTAAAATTGGGGAATAACGGGCCCCTTGTTGTTGATTATGTCATCTTCATACTGTACACGATTTGGCGACGATTTATCATCAGCTACGAGGCGTGTCAGCTCAGAAATTGATAAATTACTGTTCCCTGGATTTTCATTTCCAAATTCAAATGCTAAACATTCCGTAAATCGGGATTCTCCACACTCATCAACAATATTGCCTGGAAAATAGATAGAAATATATTCAATTAAACGTATGCGACCAATTAAATGCATTCTATATTCCAAACTCATACATCTCAAGCCATCTTCTATAATAGAATAGCCTATTCTGCATTTAAAAAAGCTTCAGAAATAAAGAAATTTACCTGTCACACTGATTATTTCGTAGTTACCCGCCGGAAGTTGTGAAAAATCGGGAATGAAAGAAGCCATGTTGTATTATTTTTTCTTCTCGAAAATTTAGCGCAATGAAATAAAATCCGGGAATGGCAGATTGAGAATGAGATGTCAGAATTGAGTCGATCCTTTTAAATCAACTTCTTTATGATGACTGCTCATGTGGACGGCTTGTTGAAGCCACCCAAAAGAGTTTTCAAACCAGTTAATCCACGGAAAACATTAATCAGTACTGTTAACTAATAATGTCTCCAACACAATTATCGCTGATTACTAATCACCAATCATAACAAGATTTATCTTTATTGAGGATTAAAATGCCGCAGTAAACTCTTGGTTTCAAAGGAGGGTCGCGGGGCGGGCGGTGGGGGGGGGGGGGCGTTGTTCGCAAATGTCTACTTGTTAATAAAATGACATCGCAGTAAAACTCGCCATAACATTGGGCGTGGAATCAAAATCTGTAAAGGCATTCGAAGATTTTCGCTGCGTTAATTTATCTAGAACTTATAATGCTTGTGAATTTATACTCCGGCGTTTTTGTCTCGTATCACTGTTTTGTCATACCGGCATGACGTGTGTATGAAACTTGGACCAGGTGATTAAAAGTCATTGGTTAAACCCTGGTATGTTCTGTAATCTTGATAATGGGAACTTGATTTTTCTTTTCGATAGGTAATCCATTTCTGTCATTATTTAACATAATTATATTTTTAGTGTCAAGCGTTAACAGCAGTTGTCCCCCTTCAGTGTTGTGACACGACACTGTCATGCAGGATAGTTTAATAACAGTAATTACCATTTATATATGTATTAGTATTATCTATATGTATCTACGTTTATAGATTTTATATATATCTACGTTTATAGTATGTTATATATATCTACGTTTATAGTTTTTTATATATATATTGTTTATTACAAAGCACTGCTAATCCTAACATATATAATTTCAATGAATTAGAAAATTTACATGTACAATATTACTTATAATATACTTTATTTCAATTTAAACATATTTACATATTCCATGTAATTGTATATAGTTATTATTATATAGTTATTATGTATTGTTGTTAAACGTTGAGTGGAAAGGTGTATATATAGAAGGAAGTGTTTGGAATTTTGTACATAGTTATCATAATTAGTTAAAAGGATTTCATTGAATGTCTGTATGTATGAAAGAAGTATGCATGTGTGGGTGCAAGTGTGTGTATGTATGACTGAGTGTTAAATTTTATATTCACTGTATATACTCATTTTAATTGTACATTATTCATATTCACATGTATATACCATTCATTGGAATAAATTTATTCAAAAGTTACTAAAGATTTCGAAGCCAGGGTTGAGTGTTACTAAAATCTTTTCCAGTGGGTAGGGCCACTATGACTGACCATATAGTAGACGTGGAGATAGAAGATGAGGATATAGACCACAGTATATCAAGAAGAACAGTAAAAGTCACCATTGAAAAGAAGGAGTATGTTTACAGGAAGGATGTTTTAGATCTGTTTGTTTGGATGTTTGGAGATGCTCGTGTTGTTGAGGCTATTGCGAAGAGGGATAAGAGTGAAGAATGGTTTGTTACTGTTAAAAGTGAGACCGCCTACGAACAATGTTTAAAGACAGAATTGCGAGTGTTTAAGGGGAGGAGATATTATTTTAGCGATTCATCTAAATGTGTTGTGAATTTACGTGTCCATTGGGTACCACGAGATTATAAGAATGGATTCATCAAGAAAGTTTTTAGCAGATATGGTGAAGTCCGATCAGTAAGAGAGGAAACGTCAAACGTTGAAGGGTTTGGGATACTGAATGGTCTTAGACATGTAACTTTGATGTGCACTGATTTACAAGCTGGGAACATTCCCCACATGATTCGCCTGTATAAGGGAAGGGTGCGGATGCTAGTAACGGCACCAGGGCGTCTACCCCTATGTCTAAGGTGTAACTGCATTGGTCATGTG